AACTAATTAATATACCTGTCAGGTAAACTGTATCTTTACCTTAACACATTACCAACAGCATAAATATGTTACTCAACTATAGTGTTTCTTGATGCTGACCAAACATGGGTTTTTATTTCAAATCATGGATTCATGCTTGTCTGCTTTGGAGTCTATAAAATAATAACCTCTATAAATTCATTTCAATTTCAGTGAATTTCCAGCAAGACAACCAACCCTCTGTGTAACCCTCTGCAAATGGGAAAGCAAATACTCAGTTGCAGGAAAGCATTTTTAATTAGTGATGAATGCTAATTTGAATACTCACCCTTTGGTCTGATTTGCATAATTTCAAAGCATTCGTATAGATAGTATTTGGACTGTTGGATGAGAACAACTCTTTACCAATGGTATAAAACATTAAACCTGAAATTGTTAAAATACAGTGTTCGGTGTGGTCCCATGCAACAACACACAAGACATAATTTGTTAATGACACCAAAGTTTGACTACTGTGATTCTTTACGCGATTACAGTCATCATAAAGCATGTGTTCTAATTTCATGTAAAACAAACAATGTATTCTATGCATGTTATATATGTTGCATCAGTGTATTATACAAAAGCAAGATGCGCCATAACATCCATTGTCATTTAATCTAACAGTTAGAACATACTATGTTCCAAATCTTATCTAACAATTTATTGAACATAAATGTTCATTTCAATTTTGGAGAACTAGCTGCTAGTGTACATTTTTAAACTACATGCAAAAAATTGAACAAATGTAAAATATTGCTTGGGGGTGACGTGTCATTTTTACCCCCTTGGAATATGCCAGAGGAGACTTTAATGTTATTGGTTTAGTCAGCAACAACAATTTTAAGAAACAAATATTGTACAGCATTTGTAATTGTCAGAGGTACTTAATGGAACACTGATTTGAGTAAATGGAATGTAAATTGTTTCTTTATAACAATGCCAATCAATGTTTGTATGCTCTCTAGTACCTTTCACTAATATTTCACTAAAACCTTCAAGCTGGGACTTGTATATGCTGATTTTTCTAATCATGTGGCAGAAAATGACCACATTCAGATGCTATCAATCCACCTTGATGTTGTTGTTTTTATTGGCAAGAAATGAAACTAGTAACATCTTTGAGTGTCTTTGATTTATATTCATGTTTGACATATGTTTTGGTTTGAAATTATTAATTATGTTACCACCTAACTACTGATTATATATATTAGTTTTCTTCTAAATAATTCAATCACCTCAATAAAAAATATTTATTTGTTCATGATCCATTTATGAAAGGATTACAGTATACTATATAACAGCTTTCATTAATATAATGAGAAATCACCAATAATTAATAATTAACATATTTGATCACAAATTCCGATCACAATCTCTGTAGCTAATGGGAAATCATTGAAAAATACTTAAAAATGTCCAAAAAGTTGTGCCTAAATTTTGGTGTAAGTGATAACAGTGTTAAAATTGTAACAGACTGTAAATAGCTTTATACAGTAGCTTACCTGTGATGCCAACACCAACCAATATTATTCCAACATATGACACATTCTTACTTGTCTCAACAACTGTTAAAGCAAATAGAAAAATCAAAGAAATCTTAGAAAGAACTCCCGTGTGCTGAGAGTATTGAAGACACATTAAAAATTAATTAAAAATTACTTGTACTTGAGATATTGATGGAATAGCTGAAAACTAATTATGTAAACCAGGTAACTGATATGAACAGATTTGAGTGTAAAACTAATAAGGCCTGCGTAATGTATGTACCAAGTTTCATTGAAATTTGATTAGAACAAAAAAACTATGAATTATTATTAGAGAATTAATATGAACAAATTTCAACCCAAAATTAATCGGGCCTGTTTATTGTTCTAGAGCATTTATGTACCAAATTTTATTCAAATGTGATGATCAGTAATTGAGATATCAGTGTTAATTAATTATTTTAATTAGGTGATTAATAAGCATAAATATTTACCCAAAACTAATTGCGTCTCTGCATAGTCCTAGGTTCATTGAAATGTGATGATGAATATTCTATAAAAGTTTCATTAAAATCCAATTAGTGGTTCTTTATATATCAGTGGAACATTCATGGAAAAAATTAACTAATTACGTTAATTATGTAATTAATATCCACAATTATTTACCCTAAAACTAATCAGGTCTCTGCACAGTTCTAGAGGATGTATGTAGCAAGTCTCACTGAAATATGATGATCAGTACTTGAGTTATCAGGCGAAAAGCTGAAAATTAACTAATTATGCTAATAAGGTGATTAATATGCACAAATATTTACCCCAAAACTAATCAGGTCTCTGCACAGTCCTTAAGTAACTATGTACCAAGTTTCATTGAAATGTGATGATTACTACTTGAAATATCAAAAGCTGAAAATTAATTAATTATGCAAATTAGGTAAGTAATATGTACTGATATTACCCTAAAAACTATCAGGTCCGTGCAGTGTCCTATGATATCTATGTCCCAAGTTTTATTGAAATGTGATGATTAGTACTTGAGATATCAGTGGAAAAGCCAAAAATTGATTAATCATTATGCAAATTAGGTAATTAATATTGCACAGATCAATGCACCAAGTTTCATAAAAAATCAATGTACGGTTCTTGAGATATCAGTGGAACAGACACACACACAGACACACACTAACTGCAAAGACTCCGTCTTTGTGCTTCGCACACAGGAGTCAACAATTCAAGATCATAACTGTTTTGAATTTCCTTTACAAATAAAATTAGACAATGAGGATAATCATTTGAAATAGTTCCAATATATGCACAAAATCAATGCAAATTTTAGGGCCATTTGTGAAAAAAATGCAAGCAGTACCACATGAAGTAAACCTCATTGACATGGTTCTATTATTCATTGCACTTATAATATTGTGATTTTTGATGTGCACTGAGGTCAGGAACATTTTCTTTGTTACTGTCATTGCCATATTGTTCCAAACACCAAAATAGCAGCATTGCTAGCTATAAGTTGCTGACTGGTTTGCAATATGCACACCTGGAGATTGTTACATTATCAAACCAAACTCAACAGGAGATGTCAAACTAATATTGGGGGACTCAAACACGTTTTTGGGATCTTGGTTCGAAATAGAATATCATAAAAAGTTGGGTCAGATAACTTCTGAAGAGAGAGAGACTGAGGTAAAAAAAATAAAGACTGTATATGGCTGTCAGTGACTTCTAAAAGGCACAAACTAAAATATTGTGGCCTCCAATTTCCTTTGTTTTATATACTTTTTTGTCTATAAAATATTAATTTAAATTTAAATTTTTTTACAAATTCCATAACTTAATTATAGAAAGATGTTTTTCAAGATTACTATATGCATTAATATGTATGATTTACTGTTGCATCATTTTTGCACCAGGAATTAAGCATAATTAGTTCACATCACAACAAATTTTTGTGTCATGTTGATATGTCATGTTGGCATAGAAGGCTCACTACAGATATGTCATGTTGGCACAGAAGGCTCACTACAGATATGTCATGTTGGCATAGAAGGCTCACTACAGATATGTCATGTTGGCACAGAAGGCTCACTACAGATATGGCATGTTGGCATAGAAGGCTCACTACAGATATGTCATGTTGGCATAGAAGGCTCACTACAGATATGTCATGTTGGCATAGAAGGCTCACTACAGATATGTCATGTTGGCATAGAAGGCTCACTACAGATATGTCATGTTGGCATAGAAGGCTCACTACAGATATGTCATGTTGGCATAGAAGGCTCACTACAGATACGTCATGTTGGCATAGAAGGCTCACTACAGATATGTCATGTTGGCATAGAAGGCTCACTACAGATATGTCATGTTGGCATAGAAGGCTCACTACAGATATGTCATGTTGGCATAGAAGGCTCACTACAGATATGTCATGTTGGCATAGAAGGCTCACTACAGATATGTCATGTTGGCACAGAAGACTCACTACAGATATGTCATGTTGGCTTAGAAGGCTCACTACAGATATGTCATGTTGGCATAGAAGGCTCACTACAGATATGTCATGTTGGCATAGAAGGCTCACTACAGATATGTCATGTTGGCATAGAAGGCTCACTACAGATATGTCATGTTGGCATAGAAGGCTCACTACAGATATGTCATGTTGGCATAGAAGGCTCACTACAGATATGTCATGTTGGCATAGAAGGCTCACTACAGATATGTCATGTTGGCATAGAAGGCTCACTACAGATATGTCATGTTGGCATAGAAGGCTCACTACAGATCTTGATCAAAATTGTTTAAAAAAAAAAAAATTTTGAGAATGAATGATGACAAATGTTGACTTAATTTCAACGGGTTATACTCAATGAAACTATTACTTCCAAAAACAATAGATGAATTTGAACAAAAAAACAGGATAAACAATACTTTAGTGGTGTCCGAATATTGTGTAGAATTCGTGAAACGCAAAAGTATTTTGCAGTATTTCAATGCTTAATAATGAGCTAGATACATTTTTAGAATGATTAATTTTGATGAAGTAAAAGTATCTCAATGCAATATTACCCTATTCCAAGTTTGGCTTTTTATCTATTGAGCTATAAAAAACAAAATTTAATTAAATTCCAAACCAAATCAATTTTTGTGGCACCTTTCACACTTTACACAAGATGTCAAATTACCTCTATGTCCAATAGTCACCTGTGCCTCTTGGGACTGCTTGGACTCTGCCACTTCATTTCTTTTTCTGGACCTTTCTGATTTGAACCCTCTACATGGTACCTGCTGTGATGTCCAGTTACAGTTCCTTAAATGCCAGGCCTCATCAAAGGTACAACTGTTTTGAAAATAAGTTCCCAATCTTCGAGAAAGATTAATGGTACCGAGGGATCTGTTTAAGATGTTGATGGTTGAAGGAAGAGTGTGTTGAACTCTAAAGACAATCATGATGTATGTCTTTCTTAATTCTGCTACATTCTCTAGTTATTATTTCATAATTGTTTCTCTGTAAAAAAAGAAAGATGGTATAAAACCTGGTGCAATACCTGATGCATAATTTGTTTTTTACACCCAGCCCCCACTCCACACCTCCAACTAGTGGCAGTGTATGATGGCCATAAACAAATCATCTTATTACACGTCATGAAAAGTTATCAGCACTGGTGTTGTGTGTGTAATTGAAATTTAGCAGGAACAACAAAACTAATCAACCTTCATAGCATAGGGGCTGGTACAATCACAGTAATATAGACATTTACTTAATTTTTATAAATATTCATAAATTTCACTAGCAGTAATGTCTGCAACCAGCCAATCAACAAGCGCAGTTAACTTTCTAAACTATAGAAACTTCTTGTTTTAGTTTGAATTGTAAAATTTATCAATATTTATAAAAAGAGAATATAGGGTAGCTGTATTGATAGTAATACGATAACAATACATGTGGGTAAAAAACTTTAATACTTCATAAAAACATTTGGGTGTAAATCTCTTAATATCGGAACATTTATAAACTAAACTACTTTGAACTAGTTCAATAAAACACAATATTTTATTATTAAAGTTTGTGGTCGTCATAAAGCACACATTCATATTTTGTGGAAACAAACAACGTATCTTACACCCATTATATAAGTTATATGGGACCCACATGAAACGCGGTGTAGACAAATGACCACTGCCTTTTAATTACATTTGTTGATGTGCTTCATGAAACTTGATTCAAATATTTATAAATAATATAGTTTTAGTTTTTATAATTGTAATCATTTATACTTGCACTGAATGATATCACAATTTAAGAGTGATCAAATTGAACTGTTTATTTTCTCATATAATACATGTATATTATCAGCCATGTTCACTCTGGATAAGTGAAACAAGTTGGTCAGATGATATCCTCTCCACAAACCCAAGGTCTACATGCAATTACAGCTTATTTTTATAAATTAATTTAAACAAAATCATATAATTGATTGAATATTTCTAATCTGGAAAAATTGTGTACATCTGATATCACTGTAGTGTAGATCATCACACTTATTGGAACAAGATGGTACAAATTGAAGAGACAATTTTATTATAGCCAATTATTGCTGTTTCTTTTGATTCAAATTTTATGAATATTCAGTAATGTTACCAGTAATAGAGGACATTGTATTGGAATTACAATCATTTTCAAGACAGTGTTAATGAATTTCATTGAAATTTATAAAATGTTTATAAAACCTCAAAGACAAATCATAGATGTTACATTAAAAAAGAAGCCTTATGGTAATGTAGTCTG